TACTCAACAAAATATTGGCGAATCGAATCCAAGAACACATCAGAAAAATCATCCATTATGATCAAGTAGGCTTCATTCCAGGGATGCAAGAATGGTTTAACATATGAAAATCCATCAATGTAATCCACCATATAAACAAACTGAAAAAGAAAAAACACATGATCATCTCACTAGATGCTGAAAAAGCCTTTGACAAAAATCCAACCTCCCTTCATGATAAAAATCTTGGAGAGAACAGGAATAACAAGAACATATATAAACATGATAAAAGCAATATACACCAAAGCAACAGCCACCATCAAACTAAATGGAGAGAAACACAAAGTGTTTCCTCTAAAATCAGCATCAAGACAAGGCTGTCCACTTTCTCCATATCTCTTCAATATTGTACTTCAAGTTCTAGCTAGAGCAATAAGACAAGAAAAGGAGATCAAAGAGATACAAATTGGAAAGGAAGACGTCAAATATTCACTATTTGCAGATGATATGATAGTCTACATAAGTGACCCGAAAAACTCTACCAGGGAATTCCTACAGCTGATAAACCCCTTCAGCAAAGTAGCAGGATACAAAATTAACTAAAAAAATCAGTAGTCCTACTATATACAGATGATAAATGCAATGAGAAAGAAATCAGAGAAACATCACCCTTCACAATATCCACAAGCAACATAAAATATCTTGGGGTAACACTACCCAAAAAAGTGAAATACCTGTACAGTGAGAACTTTGAGTCTTTACAGAAAGAAATTAAAGAAGATACCAGAAATTGGGACGATCTCCCATGCTCTTGGATCGGTAGAATCAACATGGTAAAAATGGCAATCTTGCCAAAAGTAATCTACAGATCCTAACACAGTTTTTCACAGACCTTGAAAGAACACTACTCAACTGTACATGAAAAAACAAACCAGGATAGCCAAAACAACTCTGTACAATAAAGGATCTTCTGGAGGCATCACCATCCTTGACTTCAAGCTCTATTATAGAGCCATAATTCTGAAAACAGCTTGGCATTGGCACAAAAATTGACAGATAGACCAATGGAATCGAATTGAAAACCCTGATATTAATCCACACATCTATGAACACCTTATTTTTGATAAACATGCTAAATCCATAAAATGGAAGAAAGATAGCATCTTCAACAAATGGTGCTCGCACAACTGGATTCAGACATGCAGAAGATTGCAGATAGATCCATATCTATCACCATCCACAAAACTTAAGTGCAAACAGATCAAAGATCTCAACATAAATCCAGCCACACTGAATCTTCTAGAAGAGAAAGTGGGAGATGCCCTTGAACGAATTGGCACAGGAGACTTCTTCCTGAACATTACACCAGTAGAACAGACATTGTGATCTGCAATTAATAAATGGGACCTTCTGAAACTGAGAAGCTCTGTAAGGCAAAGAACATAGTCAGTAAGACAAAACAATAGCCCACAGAACAGGAAAATATCTTCACCAAGCCCACATCTGACAGAGGGCTGATTTCCAAAATATACAATGAACTTAAGAAGCTAGCCACCAATACACCAAACAATGAAATTAAAAAGTGGGGTGCAGAACTAAATAGAGCATTCTAAACAGAGGAATCTGAAGTGACTGAAAGACACTTAAGAAAGTGCTCAAAATCCTTGGCCATCAGTGAAATGCAACTCAAAACAACTCTGAGATAGCACCTCACACCTGTCAAAATGGCTATAATCAAAAACACCAATGAAAATCTTTGCTGGAGAGGATTTGGAGCAAAAGGAACAACACTCCATTGCTCGTGGGAGTGCAAACTTGTAAGACCACTTTGGAAATCAGTATGGCAGTTGCTCAGAAAAATGGGAATCAGTCTACTTCAAGAACCATCAATTTTTCTCTTGGGCATATACCCAAATAATGCACGTCCATATAACAAGGACATATGTTCAGCCATGTTCATAGAAGCATTAATTGTAATAGCCAGAACATGAAAGCAACCTAGATGCCCCTCAACTGAAAAATGGATAGAGAGAATGTGGTATATTTATACAATGGAGTACTACTCAGCAGAAAAAGCAAGGGAACCTTGAATTTCACAGGCAAATGTATGGAACTAGATGAAACCATTCGGAGTGAGGAGGTCACCCAGTCACAAAAAGACAAACATGGTATGTACTCACTCATATATGAATTTTAGACATAGAGCAAAGGATTACCAACCTACAATCCTCTTCACCAAAGAAACTAGGAAACAAGAAGGACTCTATGGGAAAAATGCATGGACCCTAGGAATGGGAAGGGGCAGGAACTCATGAGCTAATTGGTAGAATGAGGGTAGGGGAGAGGGAGCTGCCAGAATGAGAGGAGGAGAAGAGAGGAGAGGAGGAAATGGAGGAGCAGAAATATTGAGTTGGGGGAAGAACGGGGGAGAGCAGGATGAGAGATACTATTTAGAGGGAGCCATTATAGATCTGGGGAGAGATATGGCACTAGGGAGATCTCCAGAGATCTACAAGGATGACACAAACTGACAATCTAGGCAATGGTGGAGAGGATAACTTAAACGCCATTCCCCTATAATGAGATTGATGACTACTTTTTATGCCATCCTAGAGCCCTCATCCAGTGGCTGATGGAAGCAGAGGCAGACACCCACAGATATACACTGAACTGAACTCTGGAACCTAGTTGCAGAGAGGGAGGAATGAAGATCAAAGGGGTCGGTAGCAGGCTGGTTAACCCCACAGAAATAGCTGGCCTGAACAAGGGGGAGCACATACACCCCAGACTGCTGTCTGGAGGCCAGCACAGGACTGAATCAGACCCCTGAACATGGATGTCAATGAGGAGGCCTCTGCACTCTAGGAGGCCCCTGGTAGTGGATTAGTATTTTTCCGTGGTGTAAGAAGGGAGTTTGAGAGCTCATCCCAGGTGAAGGGATGCTCTCTTGCCCTGGACACATGGGGGAGGGCCTAGGCCTGGCCCAGGATGATGTGGTGGACTTTGGGGAGCCCCTGTCCAGGGCCCTGTCTGGGGAGTGGAGGGTAGATGGGGTGGAGGGTAGGCCGGGGGTATGGGCAGGAGAGGGAGAGGGATTGACATGCAAAATAAGCTTGTTCCTTATTTGAACTAACAAAAAATTTACAAAAAAGAGCTATCAAATGAAGTCCATCTTTGTTAATGAAGAATTAGAAAGCATGATCAAATTTTTTAAATTATTTCTCCATTTATTTTAAATTTTCATTTCTTTTGAGAGTTTAATATATGAATAACATATTTATATAATTTCCACACTCCTTTTTCCATTTTCCTAAATTTAAAAAGAAATGGTGGAAATAATGAGGATAAAGGTTTAAGTGGGGAGAGGTATGAAAGAGGGGAGGGTAGAGTAGGGAGGGATAATTAATACAAAGAATGATTGGAAAAGCCATATTGAAACATTTTATAGGAGAGTTTAACTGTAGTTACCCTACACAGTGGATTATGGTCTCCCAGGAGACCATAAAAAGCCCATTGCCAGATTAGGAGATATCATCCTTGAGTTATAGGTCAGAGATATGTCAGAGACAGCCACAAACAATACTTTTTATTTTCAAGGCTCTTAGCTGCCCACCATATCTTACCCTAATGGCAAGACCCTATTGCTGTGGACACTACACACTCAGTGCAAATTAGATTTCTCCATGGCCTATAACCTAAGAAGCTGAAGATTTACTCTCTAGATTTCATAGTACAGGAAGATAACCTGAGTCTTATGAACCCTCTGGACTATAATAGTGATGGCCATGGGAAGCTATGTCCATGGGTACTGTAACAGTACAGATGTTATGCAGGTTACTAACTGCTTGCTGCTTGTATGTAAGGCCCATTCCCCAGGAGGAAATGTTTACCTTACACTGTAAACCTGGCCAAGAACTCATGGCTGGGGAGATTACAGGCCCCATGGGTGAACCTACTTTTATTATTTTGCTAAATGGATATAATATCAAACTTCCCTCTAAGTTCATATCTCTCAACTCTCAGATTAATACAGGTCTCATACTTAATCAGAGAAGTTTATTGGTGCAATGAATGGTATAGTTAACACAGAAACTCACAACTGCTCAAAGGCCAAGACTGAATGTCCATGAAATGCTCAGTCACAAATAGGGCATGTATGTCACCTCTTTATCTCCAAGGTTCAGGGACCATTGTGGAAAAGAAACAGAAGGATTGTAAGAGCAAGGAAAATGGAACAAAACAGTATCTTCTGGACAGAGTAAGACTGCTGCATCCATGAACTCACAGCAGCCTTGGTTGTTTGTGTGAGACCAGCACAACGTCACAGCAGGAGAGAAGAAGGGCTCAGAAAGCCCACACCTAAATAAGGAACCACCGGCAGTTAATGGTTTCTATGAGTGGGAATCTCAGTTTTCTTTGAGCATATGGTCCTTGGTAGGTAAACCTTGTTCTAGTTGATGGTTCCACTACTATAGGTATGTAGGCAACATAAATTAGACTATATTGATTTTAAAAAAATGACTGGAAGTTGGGAGGGGGAAGGAAAATCTGGAAGAAATGTGGATAAATATGATATTGTATGCATGCATAAAATTTTCAAGGAGTTAATAAAATATTATATTAAAAATTGGGCCAATGTAACTTACCTGTGAATTGAAAAGACACATTTAGAATTTTTAAGCATTAATTCCTTCACTTTCTACCTCATCTCCCAACACCATTTCTCTTGTAAACCGAAGAACAACAACAAAAGATCAAGATATATGGGCTGGAAACATGGCTCAATGATTAAAAATCACTGGCAGTTCTTTCAAACGACTCAGGTTCAAATTCCAGCACCCACCCAGTAGCAATTCTCTGTAATTCTATTTTCAGAGCATTCAACACCCTCTTCTGGCTTCTGTGGGTACTAGGCATGCCCATGGTACACAGACATACATACAGTTAAAACATCCAGGCACACAAAATTTGAAAGTTGAAAAATTTATCCATAAATTTATCCATAAATAACAAAATATTACCTTGAGCTATGTAAGGTGTCGTTTCTTCTTTGAAAGGGACGTGAGTGGGCCGGGGGGTGGGAGCAGGAGGTCTATTTATAATGAAAGAGCGATTTCCAGTTCTTTTCTTTACACTCTTACTGGCCAGTATCATGTCGTACTCATTGTCATCAGTCTCCGCAAATGCATATGGGTTTTCCTCCTCCTCCTCCTGCTCCTCTGCCTTCTGTCCTTCATCCCCTCTCCTTTCTTCTTTGCTGGGTTCCTCTCTTGTCTCTTGTCTCGCACTGAGATAACTCCAGTTTTGACTTCTTTCCACTTGGTCTTCCATCATCCTCCCTGCTTAGGAAACATTTAGTTTGGGTTTACATTGTATTTTATGCAATATTCTTCTTACTGTTTTTAATTTCCTATATCATCTCAAATCAGCTTACTCAAATAATGCCATTGAAACAATATGAACAACAGGCCTGTTTCTAGTAAAATACTTATATACTACTATCAAAATTCAAAAAGGGAAGTCAGTTGTTTGATTCACTTACACAGCTTGGCATTCCTAGTTCTACAGAGAAAATTCTTTAAGATACATTTTCAAAAATATTATTCCTCCAACATTATTTTAGGGATATATTTGATATCAGGAGATTGAGTCATAAATCTATATCTCAGGCTCCAAATGCCCCAAAGGGGTTGTTTTTAAGCATAAAACTCAGGTGTTTTTTTCCCTAGTAAGACATCTTCCTTTCCTACTGATTGTATTGACTATTTTATCTAAAACCTAATTTTTCTGAAGTGATACGAGAGACCAACCACCATACTTTCTTCGTCTGTCTTAGCTTCTCTGCTATGACAAACTGACTTTCTAAAGTGAAACTCTTGGTTTTCACAGTAACATTAGTGAACACAGTAACACTCACTTAGTAACATTGCACCAAAGTGGAGGCCTTGATGTAACCGACGGTGTGGATAATCACTGGCTTAAGGATTAGTTGTGTTATTAGAATGCAATTGCAGATTCAGAGTCTTTTAGGGGTCCATAGAAGAACATTTACCTGCTTTGCAAGAATATGCTAAGACATCTTCATAGCAGTTGTTAAGCAGACAAGCATATGAAACACTCTGGGTAATAAGTTAAAAATAACCCATGGCCCTCTGCTAGGCTGATGAGAAGGTTTTCACTATGGATATAGCTATTAACTCTTTCTTTTTCAACTTGCTTGTGTCAGATAGCACAGATCTGATAATTATTATTGCAATTGGAATTGTAGTGGGAAAACCTAGATGCTCAGAGGAAATACAACTAATAGAACCACATGAAAGTATTTTTATAAGAATATTCAGGAATTGCTTTTGGTAGTTCTGGGAGGAGTGACCATGACGCTCTTCCAAAGCATCTTAAACTATATTCTTCTGGTTAGTTTAATGTAAGAAGTGTTAATTTCCTATATGCCTGGCACCAGCTTTAAAATCATTACACCTTGCCTCTTTCTGCATGAATAATATGGCTTTGAGATTTCAGCTTCATGACTTCTGTTTCTCTGACAGCCTCCGGGTGAAACCTGATTAAGTGTGTGGGAAAGACTTTTACAGCACTTCATTTTTAGCAAAATGTGTCAACTGTCTCACTTTTATGAACCCATTTCCTGAGATGTTCTCCACCCACCTCCCTTTCCAACTCTTTCTGAAGTTGGACTTATACTAGAAATCATACATTTTACTTTTTATCTTCCAAAGCATCAGCTTGTGCTTTGCCTTAAGGAGTGGGGTCTGAGTTTTCTCACCCCAGGTTGTATACTAATAAATATTAAATGAATCATTCCTATGAGCCAGTCACCCCAGCTGCTGAAATAATGGGGCACATGTGTACAGAAAAGAGAAGAACCCTGGAGGTATGTAGCATTTTTTCATTATATGCTCTCTGGCCTTGCATCTGAGTGGCAGCTGGGTCATCATGATGGTTCAGTCTCATGATTGTTGTGAAGGTAAAAAGATGCTTCAGAGTGGTGTATATTAGTAGTTTATCCAATGAATATGTCTGCAAGTCTCACTCATAGAATTTGATGCCTATTTTCTATAGCTCCGGGACAGATCTTGACAAATAGACTCAGTGGCCAAGAGTATTTGATTACCAGCCCACATAGACTGGTTTACAAGCATCCTTAACCCTAGTCCCACGGATTCCAGTGCACATGCCATAGTACACAAACAGTTTTTCAGGCCAGCCAAAAATTTATACATATAAAGTTAAAAGTCAATAAATCTAAAAAGTAAAAGTAAAAGAAGAAAATTTATAAAAATATCTTGACAAATGGCGCCATTTTCTTTTCTACTCACTTTTAAGTGCTATGGGTGAAAAGATGAAATGGATAAAAATATGTAAAAGGGGATCAACTGGCAAGAGAAAGGGGACTCGTGAGAAGGGGACAAGAAAGTATTGGCAAATGAATGTGATGAAAATAATTTTATATATATATACATATATGTAAGAAAGTATTGGCAAATGAATGTGATGAAAATAATTTTATATATATATATATATATATATGAATATATATGCATATATATCATGTATGTTATAATGAAGCCCATTACTTTGTGTAGTTTATATACAAAAATATGAAAATATTAAGCAAACAAATGTGAGAATATGTTTTTTAAATAAAAGCAATGAGGTTTTTTGCAGGGAGGCCTTTGCCTCTTATGTGTGGTATTTTTCAGGATATACATTAGCCAAGATTATAATTTTGGTCATAGGAATCTGGTTAATTTATGAAATAGTGGCATTAGGTTTCTTAGCTAACTGACATATTGTATATGAAAACTTATGAAGACTTATAATGTAATACTATATCTTACAGATATTTAATCTCAAACAGATAATATTTCCATCTTTATTATTTAAAAAAAACAATTTCAAATATGAAAAATGCAGTAGAATTTTGTGACCATTTTGCTTCTGGCATGTTTTCTTCTCCCACAGATTTTTATGTGGTAACTCCTCCCTCTTACAGGTCCACAAAGGCTTGGCATATAGGTGAACAATGGAATGCAGTCTGAATAAGCCAGAGAAGTACCTCCCAGGTTTGGTTTTCTAATGTAGTGTAGAACCCGAGTGCAGTTTATTAATAAACAGGAGCTTTCCCAGACACAGGTAATGCTAAATTTTATGGTTTCAAAATTTACTTGAGAATATATTTTTATTTCATGTTCATGAGTATTTGCCTGCATGTATGCTTGTGGACCAAGTGTAGGTAGTGCCCAAAGAGGCCAGAAAAGGGGGGCAGATCCATTGGAATAGAGTTACAGACAGCTATGAGCCATCATGTAGGTTCTGGGAATTGAACCTGGGTCCTCTGCAAAAGAGCAGCAAGTGCTCTTAACTGCCGAACCGTGTCTCAAAGTGCTGAACCACTTCAAATTTCACTGTTTCAAGCAGTGTTCATACATTTGATAGTCTTCTAGGATCTGACAAGTAAAATATATTAGTTATGGCACATGAGACAAAACAGTCTTTGTTATGAAATTTTCTTCATGATAACAGTTTATAACTTGAAGGTTAAGCACAAAATAGATGAATGAAGTTGGTGACGGTGATGAATGACCCTGGTGCCAGGGGTTTTTAGGCTATGGAGAATCTAGCTTCCAGGGAGACCAAGTACCAGGAAAGCAAAGTGCCCAGGCTCACTGCAAAATTTCCCCTAACAGCCTTCTCCTGGCCAGAATCCTGAACTTTCCCACAGAATGTACCAAGTTCATTTTATGTGCCTCACTACAGATTCTTTCCAAATTATTACAGTTGTTTTAGTATTGTTATTTATCATATTTACATTCCTAAGCTTTGCAAGGAAATTTTATTTTTTGAGGGGGCGAAGAGAAAAGGTAAGTAGATCATCTCATGTTATCTTTCCATAGCTTCAGTTGTTAAAGATAAGAGAATCACCCTTGATTCTGGAATCTGATCATGTCTCCACAGATTCAACATTGTACCATATGTTGTGTAGAAGCCTTGGAACAAATCATTTCTTTGCATTCCTTCCTGTAGGCTTACCTTGTGAGGTGAGGTGAGGTCTTTCTAGTTGGGAGGCAGCAGTCCCTGGTCGGGGTGGGGGCAGAGGCGGTCTGCAGTATGGGAGAGGCTCCTGTGAGTTGCTTTCTGCATCAATTCCAGGAATGAACACATACAAATCGTCATACTGCTTCTCAGAGCTGTCACCATCGACCTCTGGCAGGCTGGCTCTTGCCTCAGCACTTGGTTCTTTCTCCCCTATGTCCCCAGCCCTTTCAGCTTCTTCAGATCTGTCTGTGCTCCGTCTGTGTGTCTTCCCGAGTTCATGATGAAATACTGGGGGCTGTGTAGCTATTTAGAATGAGATTGAGCAATTTCACTTATACACATTGAAAATTTGCACAGAAATTGTAGAACAGTTAACACACTTTTGTGACGTGTTGTATAGTAAAAAAGCTGCCGAGACTCAACACTCCATCACATCTTGTTTCCTGCGTACACGACACAGCCACATGTACAGAGATATTTTGATTCTGTGGAGAAACTGTTGAAAATGAATCTGTGCCTCTGCTTCACATCTCCAAAGATTTATTATAATACTACTTAGTGCTGAGAATGGGCATTGTAATAATTTGTATAAATAACAACCATAAATTATTAGCGGTACCTCATTAATTTTTGAAAATGTTGCTTGGTAAAATGTCTTTTTCCCCCAGAGAAGCATATCTAATGATGAAGTGCATTCTGTTCTGCAATTTAACCAGGTGACTGAGACAATGTCCCTATAGTCTAGGAAGCATACCACATAAACTTTTGTATTATACAATAATACTCTAACCAACCAAGAAAAGCACAACATTAAGCTGCAATAACTTCACATCTGTAAAACAATTTATACAATTTTGTCTTTTTAAAAGGAAAAATGAAAGACAATCTTTTTGATCTTTCGAGCAGACGTTGGAATATGCCTCATCATTTTCAAAATGAAAAAGAATTGTTTTCAAATTTTGCTAAACTAAAATATACCTTTAAATATCAAATAAAACGGTGTGTGTGTGGGGGGGGAGAAAACATTTGTTCTTTGTTGTTTGAGAAATGAAGTCACACAGTGGAAAACTTTCAGCAGTTTGAGAAAAATTAGACTCAGGGAAAAGAATGCCTGTAATGGTGCCCTGGACAATCTTTTCTTTCACATGAGGAAGAGGAAAGACCCAGTTTTTGCTTCATGAACTGAACTTAGATTTTATAAATACTAGTCTGAGAAGAGCAAGCAGACTTCTGTGGTGTGTGTTATATATATATAAAAGTGTGTATGTGTGGTGTGCATGAGTATGTATGTGGGGTGTTAAGTGCATGGTGTGTTCTATATGTGTGATGTGTATGGTATGGTGTGTGTTGTTTATTGTATATATGTGTGGTGTATGTGGGGTATGTGTGTAGGGGAGTGTTTAAGTGTGTGCTATGTTATAGATGTTGTGTGTGTGTGTGTGTGTGTGTGTGTGTGTGTGTGTGTATGATTTTTCTTCGGAGGTTCCCTTCAGTTTTCTATTCCTGACACCTAAACGGTGACCCTAAAGTTAACTGATCCCTGGACATGTTGACGGAGTAGATGATGGGATGACTGGAAGCTATTGCTCAGCTGCAAGTACCTGAAGATGCTTCACTATTTTGTCTAAGAAAATCAGTCATCTGCCTAGAATAACAGCTAAGTACACCAGCCCTTTAGTTCTAGAATCAGTGTTTCTTGACACTGACTAGGAACAGACATTCCAGGTGCTTGGCAGATGTATTCAGCCCTGGCAAGTTAAGGATAGTAGGCAAAGGGTTCAGCAAGCCCTGTCATTACTGTGATATTGACTGGGGTTCTTTGATCTCTCCCATGCCCACGAAAACTGGTAGCTGAGCCCAATCTTGGTTTCACAGCTGAGGGAGCTCTCAGTTTCAGCTGTAGAGATGAGACATTTTTGTTACAAAAAACTGCAATAACATTCTTTTGTTATTGGCAGTTCTTCAGAGGGTAGAATATTATGATACATGTGTGATCATTATTAATAATAAGCTTTATCATAACCTTTTATCATTAACGTGATAAAGTATATAACCTACTAACCTTTTAATTAATTAATTTAATATGTAGTATTCACGTACATATTATGATAATGTTTGAAGGATTTTATCAAAGTATACTTGGTAAGCTTTGTGTTGCATTTTGTCTGATTTGCCTATAAGCCTGTCCTTTGAAAAGCTTGTGGTCACAGTGTATAACTGAGCATTGATCACGCACTGCATATAGGCCACATGGACATGAACAAAACAATCCTAATTTCCCAAGACAAGTATTTTAGATGAAGGGACAGGCCATGAATGAAGAATCAGATAGGTGAAATATAATGCTGAATGATGCTGAGCACAGTGGAGAAAGGTACAAGCAAAGGGAAATGAAAAGAAAGAAATGTTAAAACGGGGGTTATGATATGCAGATGAAGCAAGAAGGGAGTTAGGATGACCCAGGGAGGAAGAGGGTGTGCAGGGAGTGGCTACCACCCATATCCCGAGGCAGAGGCATAATCCTCGTCTCTAGGACAAAAATCAATGAACAATGAATGACAACTGGTTGAATGCTGGAAATATTTTGAAAGTGCAATCAATAGTATTATGATGGAGTGGATGTATAGTGGGAGAAAAAGAACAAAAGTCCAGAGTAACTTCAAGAATTTCGAACTAACTTAAAAGGAAAAGGCATTCTCTCTGGCTGAGGAGGGAATCAGCAGGAGGAGACATTGGGTAAAACAGGAATCAAGGCTTTCTGAATTGAAGGGTGAGACGCCCATCACAAATGCTGGTGAAGATGGTAAGCAAGCCATTGCATGCTAATGAGACATGGCCTGAACATGTACGAACACTGAATTCATCTTCAGATGTTAGACATAAATTCCATGTCTATGGCATGGAGGACCTTAGACACATACTTGCCTCAGCTCCCCACTCCACAGTGGAGAGGACACAGCTTCACCAAGAATGCAATTATGTTTTTCAAAACAAATTTGGAAACACAGTTTTCAAATACTCAGAAAAGATTATCAATGTGACTTTTGTAATTTTTCATAAACTCACATTTGATTATTAAATCTTGACCTTGTGAATTGTTTAAATTGGCCCATATAGGCAAAACATTTTTACTGAAATATCATTCGAAAAATCCTTTGATTGATGAAATACATTCCCACATTTTCTTTTCAGTCTTGTTTTTGAGTTTCACACGCCATACGATAAAACCTATATGTATTCACAGAGTAGAGGAAAACTTACAGGGTGGATTTGTAGAAAATGAGGTAACATCCTCTTCATAGTCATTTTCTTGCTCATTATTTTTGCTAATGTTTTGGATCTGAAAGGAAAGAAGGTAACTTTTAATGATGTGCATTAATCTTACCTACAGGGAAAATGCTTCTTCTAAAGTTTTATTAAATACTTAATTCTTCTTTATTACTGACTCTGGTTATAACCATCTACATGTGATCAATGATACATTCAAAGCACAAGTGAGAAAGCCATCCATCATGAATAAAAAGTTGATTTTAAAAAGAAACATAACAACTGTTTTAACACTTGAGGAAAGCAATGATCATGAGTTTGGGTCTGGTAAAGGCCTGCAAAAATATAAACAGTTCTCTTAAAACTTTTCCTTTTATTATTTTATTATTAATGATATTAATTATATCAGGTATATTATGATCCAATGTAAGCAGTAAAATTTTAAAGATGTTTATTCTATGTCTTTATAAGGAAGAAAGCTCACTTATTTCTGTTGGTATGCCTTTTTGAAGTCAGTTCTAGTATTTATTTACTTATTAACTTTTTATTTAGCAGTGGCGAGGCTTGAACCCACGTCTTCCCACATGCTAAGCATTCATTCCACTGCAAACTCACACCCCAGATCATACTACATGTAGAAGACAGACTTACTGACAAAAAACAAAATATCACTATCTCTGGAAGAGCTAGTTTTGTTTAAACTCCCTGAGGAAATGGAGGGCTTATAATTGGGGAACATACAGCTCCTCTAGAGAAAGCCAAGTGACAGCAACCGTATTTGTGAAAAATTGCATAGAACAAAGGATGGGGTGTGACTGTATTTAACAAGGAACACAGGTATCTTTTTTCTTTTTTGAGACAGGGTTTCTCTGTGTAGCTTTGTAGACCAGGCTGGCCTCAAACTCACAGAGATCTGCTTGCCTCTGCCTCCCAAGTGCTGGGAATACAGGTGTGGGACACCATAGCCTGCCTGGGGACCACACATTTTAAACACAAACTTCAAGGTGGCTTATTCAAAGATATGCATTTGTTCTTAACAGAACTGATGGAAATAAAGAGGCCATTTGTTCTAAGCCATGAGAATCCACATTGGTACTCTTTACACAATTTTGTAGCTGTGGTGTGCTGAGGTATTTGACCGGTGCACTGATCTCATCAATTTTCTTTACTTTCTACATTGGCCAATGAGAACCCAATGGAGTTGATTTATTTTTTAATGGATGTTCTTAATGAAAGCATCATATCCTCTAGTTTTCCAGGGAATCATAAGAATAACAAATAAAGATTAAAGAAAAAGTGCCTCAGTACTTTATTGAGTCTCATAATTCATTTTAGTCCTCATTCCTTTCTCCTAAATGTAATATATGGAAGATAACACTGATGTGTTGGATGATATTTGTAGGTATTTATATTATAATCATTGTGACACACACACACACATATATATCCTTCATTTCCAATTAGAATAACCTGTACATTTTATAATGTAGGCAAAGTATATACTTTAAAAGTCTATAGTACTCTCAAAATCGCACAAAGGAATGTTTTTTACTTTTTAACCATGGAAAAAAATACCATACATCTAGCCTAGACACATGGGGTTGGACCTAGGACCTATCCCAAAGGATATGATAGACTCTGAAGACCCCCTATGAAGGCCTCAACCTACCTGGGGAGCAGAAGGTATTAGGGATAGGTAGAGTATTAGTTGGGGGGCATGGGAGGAGGAGAAGGAGAGGGAACTGGGGTTGACATGTAAAACAATCTTGTTTTTAATGTAAATAAAAATGGAGAAAAAATTTTAAAAAGACCTACTGCACAAGTGTCTAGGTATAAGTATAAAAATTGAAATGTATTGGAATAAGTTTCGTGTCATGATTTAAGCCATATAAACATCCCAAACCCAATAATATCCCAAAGGAACCTTCCACATTTTGTCTATGGCCCAAATTACATACATCATATTATTATGAGTAATTGTCTTCTCAGGAATGAACCTACTTAGAAATATTTTAATATATGTTAGAATATGTTGGAAAACCAAATGTTTTCTCATCAAGGTCCTTACAATCATATATTAAAAGTATGCTAGATCTAATAATACATTAATAACTAATATGCAAAATCCAAGAGGGCATCAAAGAAAAGTCTCATGCTACTTTGACATCTAGATACTTTAACACTTGGCTGTGTGTTCTAGTAGACAAAGTAAGGACTGTAGATCATCTGAAAGTCAAATCACAGCTGTGTAATTTATCAGATCTGTGATGTCAGGCAAAATACTTAACTCTAAATCTCAATATCTACCCTGTGAAATGTGGGTAATAATATGTCCCCCACTTTATGAGGAAGGTCAAATCATAATAATAGAATCCAACACATCTCTACCATTTAGTGGGTGTTTAATGAGTATAATGTGGACTGAATAGATTTTCCTTGTTATAAATACTTTTAAGAAAACATGGCTTCTTTTTTGAAGCCTGATTTTGTTCATACATTTGTTAAACATTTAATCGGGTTTCTATATAGTACATACACTGTTATTAAAAGAAGAAATTAAAGATAAAGTCAAAATTACTCATTACTGGAAGATCAAGGGAAACAAGAGAGTCTATTTCACTTATTTTAAGAAATCATCACTACAGATAAAAGAGAATTAAAAGTTGACTACAACACAGTGATGTTGACTGATTTCAATACCCCACATCTGCCAATAGCTGGGTCACCCAGAAACTCTCCACACCTCCTGAAGGTAGACTCTAGGCATTGTAGACCGAGGACGGAAGGACAGGCAAGGGAAAAACATCTAAATAGAGACACAACAGAAAAATCAAGAGGAAGGGTTTCAAATGTATCACCAAGTTAGATGCTTCACCAAACTTCAAAAGAAGAGCTTTGAAACCAGTTTATCTGGCTTTCAAGGAGAGTTGCTGGTGACTCTGGTGAGGAGAAAGATGATGTTGTGTGGATTCACCAGCCCAAAGAGTCTTAAAAAGCTAAGTGTGGGCAAAGAATGGGATGCATCCTGTACAAGGTTTCCTTCCCGAAGCAGTGGGACAAAGAGTCAGATGGTAACTATACTCAAGAATTTGGTTTTCAAAATATAAGCTAAGGACACCAGAGCGTGAGATTACATTACAGGCAAGAGCTACAGAGATGGTGCAGACAGCTTGTTTTCGAACTATGCTGTCAAAGGCTGGAGGAAAGGAGTCAAATATGACCAAGAAAATTTCTATTGCATGTCTGGTGGCCAGCTCTCAGGCTAAAGCCTTCTTTGTAAAATCCTTCAGTGATGAGGACACTGATTAACACCACATTTTCAGTGCAATCGAGAACTAAGCTGGAGGTCCAGAGAGAACATGTTCAGCTTAAATATCCTTTGTATCGGATCTAGGAACACTTGAAAATATATTTGGAGTGGACACATGAGTATAAAATAGAGAGTCTTTCAATGTCTGAAAACAGGGACTAGTTTTATAGTGGACAGATAAACTTCTGATGTGATCAGTAAGACAGAATTGAGAAGTCTGACTGACAGAACTGAATTCCAAGTATAGAGTCAAAATCATGCTTTAGAGACTTCAGAAGAGCAGTTACACCTGGGCTACTGAACAGTGATTATTAAATATACTTGTTCAACTCCTGCCTCATTCCTTTCCAAAGTATAAGATGACAAACTGGCCATGAAATTAAATAGATAAATTTAATACTTTTACAAACTTCTCAACAGTACAGTGATTATGAGGCAACACAGAACTGTGTTGATATTTTAGAGATGAAGCTGCATGGGGAGGAAGCAGTGGGGGGAAGGGCTTCAGTGAATCAGTACAAGAAAGAGAAAAGTGACAGGGATACAAAGACGGGGAATCACAGTCAGAGGTCCAAACTAAACAGAAGAGCACCATTCTTTTTTAACCTTTTCTGATTTCCGAATGATACTCAGAACTGAGCTGAAACATCTTACAGAAGGAGGAGTTTCTGGTTTAGAGAACTTTCCCCAAAATACTCAAAACAACTGCATCCCAGAAAGTTCTCAGCACCATCTGCAAGTAACATTGCTCTCAGAGACATGGATCAATCAGGCAGTGGATATTTCTTAAGGATATTCTCTGTGTATGATGCTATAAGAAGTGTCAATTTCTAAGAAGGCAGGGCGAGGTAATGTTAATATTCCCCTAAGAGGCTGGCTATTTGGCTTGAAAAAAATCAATGTAAAATATACCAAGAAATTATAATTTTGTGTTTTGCTTCAAGATTTCAGCACAAGATACTAAAGAAATCATTCATTATAAAATATCTAGGACTGGGTTGTGAACGATGAGAAGGGTTTGCGAAACTCATCCTGAACTTAGTGGCAGCAGCTAATGTATGTTTACTGACCTAATGGATCAAGGGACAAGTGAATTGGTGGAAGAATGAATGTGGGTGTTCTAGCAAGGAAAAGCAAAAGCCAGACTGGGTGGTCCATAAAGATAATAAGGCAAGAAGAAAATCCACAGGATCCACACTGCAGGTGATACTTTTTCATAAGATGTAAACTGTGATAGGAAGCCTGGAGGCAGCACTTGTTCACTGAAGCTTGGTTGTAGCATGGTGCAGTGCAGCCTCTGCTGACTGGTGGTGGAATGCCTTAGTTGTTGCATGGTGCAGTGCAGCCTCTGTTGACTGGTAGAATGCCTTGGTTTTAGCATGGTGCAGTGCAGCCTCTGCTGACTGGTGGATGCCTTGGTTTTAGCAAGGTGCAGTGCAGCCTCTGCTGACTGGTGGAATGCCTTGGTTGTAGCAAGGTGCAGTGCAGCCGCTGCTGATTGGTGGAATACCTTTCTAATCAGCACCCTTCTGAACACATATGGATTCCACAGGTTCTGAGTTCTGAGATACAGGAAGCCATTGGACAGATTTGGATTCAAATCTTTCTCTCCCGTGATTACTCACATTAGGTCAGTGAATTCCTTTCTGGTTTGGCCTCTCTAGACACCAAGAGAGCTTAAACGTACCTCACCTCATAGTTACTGAAAAATACAACTGATAGTCAAGTACTTGGAATTAAGTTTGGCAAATAGAAGACACTGC